ACTTGAGAAAATGATTTCAAAGTTCACGCCTCCAGAACTGGGGTCGCGATAATGGAATATTCTTTGGCTAGTTTTTAAACGATGACGGGAAAATCTGAAGGTGATCTGATAACTTGGTAACTAAACTTATCTAATGTAGACAAAATCATAGGTCAAAAACAAAAAAATCCGTGAGTGATCAGATGTTCCTGAAACACTTGAAATGTGTAGAACAGCACTTTGCACCAATCTGACAGCTGAAGGACCTAAACAACAGATTTAAAATTATACACAACATCTTTGTTGTGGAGTTTATATGTCTACTTATCCAAAAGATTACACGCAAAAGTTGCTTTAGAATTAAAAATGTTTATTTTGTTGACATACTGTTTTTGATTAAAATGCAATAATTTTCTTTGGAATTTTTAGTCAGCATTTTCTTAACTGATTTGTGTGTAGAAGCACAGAAACTTAATATCTATTTACCTCAATTCTACATCTCCTCAGGCTTGCAGGCCATCTTTACCTCCAGTGACAGCCAAAAGTATAAATTAACATGACACGTCTGCAGTAATGTATGTTTTCGTTCAAACAGCTCATTATGGCGCTGGACGGAAAGCTGAAAGATCAATAAGGATATTGAATTTCCTTCTGAGCTGGACATGCATGTTTGTTACAAATGTCAATGTGTAATAGGAGCCATTTTGTTCAAACCTACAAATGTCAATGTCATTACATCAGAGAAGAAGAGGTTGGTGGAAACAGAAGGTTTGTAAACAGTCATTCTAAATAGGTTTTCTGGATTTAATAAACGAATGACAGTTATTCTCTCGCTGTTTGAATGTTTGAAAATCTGACCATTAGGTTAAACTTTGTCATTCAAACTACCTGACAAAAACTCTACTTCAGTAAAATGTGTTTACTTGTGGAATGTTGTAAGACGTATGATGATGCTAAGTAAGATTATGAAAAATAATCTTGAGTGAATGTTAATACACAACCAAACCGAAACTTTCTCATTGGCCTTTCCTGGACCAATCAAATTAGCTTTGGCCATCTTGTCTTAATCCAGTTATCTGAAAAGTTTATTTCAAGTTTATTCCACCCGAAACAAATATGGATACCACTAAAGAGATAGATCAAGTCAAAGGTTCACAGCCAACCAGGAACCAAGCTTTTCCAAAATGTTTGAGACTTCAAATTATTTATTTTAAATATTCTTAATCCACCATTTGATTATCGTGCAATTCACAACCTTAAAGTCATGAAAACATTTAACTACAGTCTGAGATGGATTGCACAAAAATCAATACTTTGCTTAAAATCAAAAGTTAGATGCTAATATTTTTTGGGACATTAAAGCAAATATTAATTAAAGTGTGGATATACAATTGCTTACATACAATGGATTTTTTTGGGAGTGAGAAAGTAGAAAAAAAAAAGCACAAAACTGTCAAACCAAGTTTTGCTTTTCTAAACTTTACTGGACTGGTTTTGTAATGACTCCTCTATGGAGCTCATTTGGGGCCATAAAGTTTGTTAAAAAAAAGACCTTGTATCTGAAAAGTAGTTTTTTTCAGTTTCACTTTCTTTCAGTTTCAAAACTTTTTTTTCCCAGTTTCAAAATAATTTGTCACTTTCAAATATTCCCCAATTTCTGCTTATTTTCCCTTTGAAAAAGGGAAGATAATTTTTTCCTGGGAAAAAAAGGATAAAACAGTCTACAATTATATGACTTGACAAGGATGAGTTTCTTTAACTCATGTGTTGATGCTTTCTATGAATATTAAAGGAAACCAAACCAGAGACAGAAAAAAGAAAAAAAGAAAAGCAGGACAGGAACAACCAACTTCTGGACAGAAGGGGCTTCCTGTCGTTCTTATCTGAGCGAGGATGAGGGATGGAGGAGGAAATAACATTGCGTCTCTATCTGGATGTGTCCATCTCTGAGATGACTCCCACTGTGATAGGCATCTCTGACCAGACACAACACAAACCCTCTCCTCTGCGAGCCCCCCCTCCACCAAACCTGCTGCGCTCCCCTCCTCATCTCTGAATCTCCAAATTAGGTTTTCCTTGGATGAAAGATAAATTGCTTCCCCTGACTCAACCAGTGCAAATAGCATCTTTTTATTTGTTACCTTCTGCGAGATGTTTTGGCAGCTAATTGGCCTTGGGTACAGCAGAATGCCGAACCCACCAGATACTTTTAGCCACATTTCTCACTGGCCGGCAAGATCAGCCTTTGTATGTTTAATAACATCAGAAAATGTATTCTAATTTACTGAATATGACTGGAAATGTTAATATGAGATGAAGATTATTGAGGGTGCTAACATTACAATAACTAAGACATAGAGCAGTTTGACGACACCTGGTACGTATTAAATACTTTATATTGGTAAAAAAACTGTTTGAGGATGTTCTATTTTATTAACGTTTTGAACATGTTGCAACAGGCCCTAATTTAGTCTTTTTGGGGGGGTGAAATGTAACCATATTTTAGACCTCTTCTGCCGCAACGTCATTTTGGATACTTTCTAAAGCCAAACACAGAGCGTATCCAAATGTCTGGAACCGATAAGCAGGGTTGTTAAACAAGTCGCTTAGCAATTCATAGGAAATCAACTACTGAGAACTGATTGATTGAAGACATTAAGCTGTTTTGTTTTCATGTTGGATGGCAACCGCTTCAGAATATGTTCTCTGCGAAACACCAACGACTCTCCTGTCAGCTACCAAGAGGCTGAGAGAATCTAAGCCAACACATTTCATCCTCTGACAAGTTTTAATGTTTCACAGCTCGGCACAGCATCTCGGTGCGAGTTTGAGCCAGTCTCTGTAATCAAACGTCTGACATATCTGCAGATCTACACGCTTCACATAATTATAGGTGCTACAATTGTAATTACCGAGCAAAGCACACGCACTCGCACACCGAGCGGCAGACATACTAACGTAAGACAGCGACCAGAGACGACTTTAGTCTGACTGTCTGAAGTTATCAAAGGCTGTGGAGAGCTTGAAGAGATCTAAAAACAAATCCAGGCTAGTGATGGTGCCACTGTCAAAGCGTTTAGCGGTAATTAAACATAATAGCCTGCTTTATATCTTTGTTGACTCTGTAGGTGATTAAAGTTTCTGATAAGTAGAGCTAATGAAAATTCACTCCCCCTCTCTTAGAATCTGACTTGCCAGAACAGTTTCTAGAAGAGTTTGAATGATGACCCACAGACAAAATAAACTCCTGCATTCTTTCTTTTAACCCAAATGCTGAGGTTTGCACTTTTGAGACGTTGGGTTAAAAGAGACTTGAGAAGGTCCCACTTGAATTGGAATCAGAATCTGCATTTTTTGGCAAGTTTGTGCGCTTGTGGAGGCTGTTTTTTTGCAAATAGCACCAACCTCAAACAGTTTGTGTCCAGGATGTGTGGAGTCTGCAGTTATTTCAACTTCAAAAGTTCTTTGATCCCAAAGATAAATTAAATATTAATAATATTTTGTGGATGAGCCAAAGCACAGTGATGGATAAAAAAAATCAGTCAAAATGAATCTGATCAGACTTCATTAAAATTCACAGATTAACATGCAATAGATGATTCAACATGCTGTATAATAAATCATTGTTTATAGATTTCGACTTCAGCGACTTTAGTTTACACTACAGAAAAAGTTTGTCCACTTAAAACTTTAGGAGTGCTAGCTATAATCATTTTTTTACACTTTATGTGGACAAAGGCAATATAATGATGTATATCATTTTGAAATGTTGCTTTTTAAATTGTTTGTCAGTAAAAGTCTTATTACACATATTGGCGTTGATAGCATTAGCCCTTTAGTTAGCATTCAACTAATAATAAAATAATGCTTAATTTTAACACTAATATAGTATAACATACCTGTAACTGGTCTGAACCTTTGTTTGCTGGTCAATTTACTGTTTCTCTCTATTTTTTAATTTTAAGCTAGCATAATGGCTTCAGGCTGCAAAAAATGTTTTCTAACTTTAATCACATTTATTAATGTTGCACTGTCTCATTTTTAATAAATACTGACAAAAAAATCAAGTAAGCAAAATTGATATGGATTAATCCAACTGCTGCATCAGTATTAATAACTCAGATTGCTAAGTGAGTCTGATATTAGAAGTTCTACTGTGGCTAAGCTAACTACTGATAGAAACTTCAATTCTTGCTCCAAGACAGAAACTTTTCTCAAAAATGATGCAACTCGCATCATTTTTGAGCAACACTGCAAAAACGAAGAACAACTGACTGAACCAACGTCTTCTGTTCAGCTCCAATCAGCGTTTTTCCAAGATAATTACGAAATGTTAGAATTGAATCCCTGCTGAACATTAAAATACAGTGCAAGAAAAACTAACGTTACTTTATCATCCGAGCCCACAGAAGTTACCACTGAGCAAACCTTGTATTTGCAACTTCAAGACACACGACTGGCCCTCTGCCAGGAGAGATGGATCAGAAGCTTCAGATGGCTGTTTTCCAAACTGCTGCAGAAAACTGAATAAAACAAGAATGTTTCATGCTGCACTGCAGAAGTTGAAGCATATTTTCTAAACGCAGTTTTGACAGAAAAGGTTGCTGTGATTACAGAGCAGGAGAAGGTCAAAGGTAAGATCATAATTTCTGAGGACTGAGAGGTGACAGCAAAACTAAACCATCCCTATCCCTCTCCAAATGTGTCAGAACTGCTGCTATTTCCAATAAAAAATTTTACACACGCACCTCAGGATTTACAGTAAAATCTGCGGTTGGAGTCAACATTGCAGTCTAATCCTCAGAGGTTTATAATGTGTCATAAACGGGATTAAACACATCTGTTTAACTCTGTTATATTGCTTCCTGAGGTACACATGAACAGCAGCTTAACCCGCTTTGTTCCTGAAGCTGCACAAATCCGACGCGCACCGCGTAATCCGGCTCCGCGCACAGACGCGCCTTCTCCCTGCCCCGGAGAACACGCACTTGGTCGGTTTCGAGTAACCCTCCGACCATTACCTGTTCTTCAGTCGAGCTTTCAGGAAGTTCTTTCCAAACGGAGCCATGACTCTGGAACGCGACAGAGCGGACGGGCGGGGAGACGGACGGACGGCCAAGACGGTCCCGGCGATCCCAAAACGCGCTACGGTCCCAGCGGCATGGCAGGACGCTCACTGACTGCGCTGTGCTGGAATGTTTCAGATGGGGAGAGAAAAAAAAAGTTTGCAGGAGCGTCCCGACTGCAACTCTGTCCGCCCCCATCCGAGGGAGGCGTTTCCTGAGAAACTCTGGTCCAACTCTGCCCCCTTCCACCTGTGGGAGCCGCCGCAGGTGGAGACGCTGAACCAGATCCGCCACTCTTACACTGCAGTAGGAAAACGTCTCTTCTTGTCGTTTGTTTCTTTTGACGTTATTTTTTTGTTGGCCATTTTAAAGCCCAACCAGTCCAGCTGGCAAAGGTCTCGCCCAGACACAGGACAGGACACACACAGTGAACAACACATGAGTAAACTGCTGCTCTTCAAACTCCATTACGTTTGAAATAAACCCCAAAGAAATTTCTAATGAATATATATGTTAGGGGCAGCAGTAAGTCTGCTGGGTCTCTCGCTGTTTCCATTTACCATTATTGAGCAAGCTATACTTGAGAAAACACATCCATTTTATAGAAACATGCTCATTTTGCAAAAACTCACGCTTTTTTAAAAAAACAAAATAGTCTGTACTAGGATGACGTAGTTTTTAAGCTGCATCGAAATGAGTGGATTTCGTAAAACCTGGAGTCACAGGAGTCTGTGATCAACAACCGGATGTTACTACCGGCGGAAAAGAGGAAGAAGACAACAGGAAGCGGTAGGAGGATGAAGGCGTGATGTAATTCTTCATGATCTCGAGAGAACAAACTTAATTTGTGATTTTAGTTATGATTTTAATATAATGGAAACAGTGCAATTGAGAAGTTTATTTTCAACAGTTATACTTGATGAGCTCCACTGTTAGACCCAAACATGTAAAACCATGAAACAGACCCAGACCTTTTGCTCTGTGTCATTTTTGCTTATTTGTATTCCAGATACTGATTATGTATTTTTTTTTTTTTGTTGTTGTTGTTGTTTCAACAAGTTACCGTACACCATGCTTCTGTTTCTTTAATCATTTTGACAAAACATTTTCTGAGGTGAATGAGATTTTTTTAAACTGGTGCTTTAGAATCAAATGGATCAGATTGTTATGAATAATTTTATTCCTGACTCAAATATAACATAGAGAAAAATTATAAAATTATCTAAATGAAAGGGTCGAGATTAGATTTTTCTCTTGTACTGGTTTGAATTTTCACTTAATTTTACAGAAATGAATAAAACAAAATAAAACAAACAAAAAAAAACCCTGATGCAATGGATGGAAGTGTATTACATGTAACTGTGTTTCTCTTAAACATTTTTTTAAGTAACCCTGTGTTGTAATTTAGTGGTAAATAGAAATAAATTCATTTATTTGAGCAGGTGGAAAAACTCTGTATCAGTTTAAAGCTTTGGTAGGCGGAGCTAAGAGTGGTGGAGTGATGGAGACTTCTTTCATAAGTTCATCATTAGAATTTTCAGCCATTGTTTACGTCCAGATTTACCATGTTTGGTGCAGAATTATGAAGTTTTTCTCACATAAATGACGAAAAGGTTTGAAGACAATCAAATACGTATCTGATGTACCATTTGTAGTGATGCAAATCGGATATTTTTGGGCTCAAAAGATCATAAATTGGCCGTCCAGAGTGGTCAGCGGTTCAAAAAAAGCAGGTTTGGGTCACATTTGCCTGGTGTGTGGACGTAGACTAAGATGGTATTCATGTATTCTGGTCCCTTTGTACTAGGGAACCGTCTTAAGTGTTTTCCAATTATGAGTAATCTTTAAACCTCAGAATTATGATGTGTAAATGACTAGGGAAGCCCTTTAGTGCCCAGATCGATTAGCAGCACCATCAGTGTGTTTACACACACCCCAAAGGCTCCACAACAATAAAACACAAACCCACCTGCTGCTACAGAGCTGCTGGTACAGAACCAGGCCTGTCACAATTACATATTTTGCTGGATAACAAATCCAGTTGCTTTGAGATCATTTTCAAGTAATATAATAATAATGGCATAATATTGATAATAACATGTAATAAAATTAATTATTATTATTATTATTATGCAATTACACACTCTCAAAGATCAACAAACTTCACATTTGAACTAACATTTAACACTGGGGGTGGCAGACATTTTAAATATTCAAAATAACCAAATAAAATTTGAGTGAACCAATTTTTTGTACAGTCTTTGGTAAAAGAGAGAGAGCTACAAGAAAAACAATCATACAAACAGAACTCATCTAACTCGTTTTAATTCATCATGCCATTAATTGATTTATTGTTTATTATGACAGACTGCACCAATTGCAATGTTCTGACCAATCAACAATCTTTAAAAAGCCTGACCTGCCGTTCCCGATTTTGGCCGATGCCATTGGTTTTTTTTTGTATTTTTTGTCTGAAATCTCGTTAAATATAGGAAGAAAGTTGCCGTGTTGTCAACAGTGGGTAGCCATGACCTGGTGGCTGGGGCTAACAGTCCTCTCTCACTGCAGAGCAGCAGGAGCCAGAGGCTCATCTTTACACCTCTGTCGAGGTGGAAAAGGTTGGCTTCACAAGCAACTTTCAGCTCATCACAAATCCATCAAAATTAAGAAAATAGATATTGATAAATCTGGCGGCCGATTCTTGGTGCACCCATAATATATTAGCACTTTAAAAAATGCTAAGAATGTTGTACATTTTAAAGCATTTATAGAGAAAATGTCATAATTGGGAAAAAAGTCTACAAACTTTTCAAACAAGATAACTGAATTATTACGTGAATCCCTGAGTGACGAGTGAAGCGTTACATAGAGACTGGCCCAGAACTGCCTGCTCAACTTGTTTCAAACTCGTCCGGTAATTAACAGGGAACAATGCTTTGTTTTGTGCATTTTTTTTTCAAACAGTGACAGAAACGTTGATCTGTGCGTCACTATCCACCACTAAGAGACCAAAGTACAGCTAACCTCTTTCAGTGAAGATGTGAAAAAGCCCCAAAGTCTGCAGAGGCGTGACGCAAAAACCCTTTCTGCCCCATGATGCCAGAGTGACGACTGGCGAGACGCAGCAACATGGATGGAGGGAGACAATCTGGAGGGGGAGGGGCGGGGGGAAAGAGACCCACGCTCTGACATCACACGGGCTCTTATATACGGAGGGAATGGAGCCCACTGCACTTCACATCCAACCAGGAAGCTCTGACAACCATCTCAGACATCGAGGAGAAAAAAATAAGGGCAAAAAAGGCAGCAGCACCGTCTCCAGCCTCTTCAGTAGCGCTCTGACCCTTAACCTTATGGACTAGGCTCATCCTCAGGTGAACTCCTCACTGCAGAAGACCCCCTTTTGTTTCACACCTTTTCTCATTTTGTCGTCAAGATGCAGGCGCAGTTGGCTTGTGTGCTCCTCCTCTGTTTCCCATGCGGTGCGCTCTGCTCAGGTAAGCAGCAGGCATCGCATCGTTTCATCTGCTGGACCAAACAGGAGATGAAACTGTTTCATGGATGTTACTAAAATATATGTTTTCTCCCTGGGTTCCCCTGATTTAGAGCGTTCAACAGGTGCATGATATTAGATGCTTCTCAAGATGAATTGTGTCAATTTTGAATGTTGTTTGCTGAAAAATGTAATTCATTTGACAAGTTTTTAAGAATTCACTATTTGGAAAAAAAAATTGTTATTTAAGTTAAATCGATAGGAAAAAATTCAAATGTCCGCAACTAAAATATTAGATTTGTAAAATTAATCTCAAAGATGAAGTTACATAAATTAATTTCATTTCTACTTCTATTATTTTACATTGACAGCAACAGGTAAGATTTTCCCTTTTATAACTTATCAAATGAAAGAACTCAAAAGAATAATATCTAAAGTTTCTTATCTCATCAACATCCAAAATAAATATCGAGAACCTAAAAGTTTAAGTAGATTAATAGTTTCTCAGCTTCGGTTATTATTAAAACAAACAGGTTTGTGCGTGCTCCCAACTGGGAGCAGAACTGTGACTAATAAATTGTAAACAAGTCATTTTGTTTGTTAAAAAGCAAATTAAACTGTAACTAGTTTGTGATTAAGGCATAAAACATCTGTGAAATATTGATAAAGACTTAAATTCAGCAGAGATTCAAACCTTTTCGCTTATTACTTAAATTTTTGGAGGCACATTTTTCATAATCCATCAATCTGGTGTTATGAAATAAAGAAAATTTTAATCGTGCATAATTTTCTTTCTACTTCAAATTGTTTACCACTTTGTGATAGTTTTTGCACATTAAATTCCAATGCAACATTTTTGGGGATGTGGTCTTAATGTGACAAAACAGGTAAAAAATTCAAAAGAGTGTAAATACTTGAGTGAGCCACTGTATAAGCTGGCTAAACCCTAAATGTTGCTACCCAACCAACTAAATCTGGACACAATTTACTACCAAATTGTGGAGAATACCAGCTCACTTCTCATCCATATGGTTCTGTAAGATTTGCTACCAAAATGAAGCAGTTGGAGCGTTATTTAACATTCAAGAACTAATATCCTGAATTGAGACAATTCTAGTGAGTAATGTTGCTAATTCTTCAAAATTCAGTTTTGTAGAGTAATCTGAATATGTGGTTTTAACCTAGACATTCATAAATGAGCTTTTTCCTAAATATTTTATGTATTGGCCCTGATGAAGCAGCTGGACATGAAATGACCTGCTGGAAGACTGATGTCGCCTTTAGCCATGTTAAACTGTTGTCGAGGTGCATTAACTTCCTCAAGGAGGAAAAAAATTCTGTGTTGCATATAAATGATTATGATTGAAAACAATCTTGTCTCCTAACACACACTTCCATTCTCATCCTGTTTCTGTGTCAGATGTAGAGCAGAAGCAGCGAGCGCTCGCTGAGGAGCTCCTCACCAGCCTCTTCACCTCTAAGGTACGTTCACTCTTTTTTCATTTTTCACTCCTGCAGCATCGGAGAGCCGGTCTCCAAAAAGCGCCGGGTGTTTTTAGTGACCTCCCACCTTCACCTGCTCGGGCCAACCAGGTGTCCTTTCATGAAAGCCTGCAGTGGAAATCCCTACCCCACCTCCCAACGTTCAGACTGAGTGGATGAAAAATAATCAATCAAAAGAGAGCACTGACGGCTCCTGGTGTACTGTGGAGTAAGAATGTTTTCAGCTACACAGTAGAAAATTCACTCTTTGAGAAAGAGAAGAAAAATAAATGACTTGTTATTTTTGAACTTTTATCACATTATCTTGCTCATTAGAGGTTTGTATGTGATACTTTGTATTTTGGGAAATACACGGACAGTATTGCCAATACTGATACTGATACAATTATTATTTCAATGTGATGTATCGTCAAACTTCAGACTTATAGCCGTTTTTTTTTTCCTTTAAATTATTTCATTAAAGCCTGTGGGATAATTTCAACAAAGTTTATAGGTGTTTACTGAAATAAAATTTTAATTTACATATCGATCTAAGATGATAGTATCTACACCAATATCAATACTGCTACCATTACTTTTTGCTAATGTTTAATAAGTCATCCAACTGCTGAGGCTTTTGTCCTTCAATTATTTTGGAAGAAACCAGGAAAGAATTTGCACAAATTTTGTAGGTGTCTACAAATAATTTAATAACACATTAACATGACAAACAGAATCAACAGAAAAACTAAAAATTTAGTTTTTTCCTAAATAACATACCAGATTTTTTTGCCATAGAACTGAGAAACTTAGATAGAAATTCAAGAGGGAATCTGAACTTAAAGCATCAATCTTACCACACTAGTATTGATTCCACCAGTATTGATCCAATTCTGATATTTTTTATTATTAAAGTTTAACATAGCATAACATTTTTTAATCATTGGTGTTTTTATGGTTTTTGCTTTGAATTATTTTATTTAAACCAAGGGCAAAATTTCACACATCTATAACAAATTTCATAGGTGTCTACAAAATAATCTCAGCATATTAACATGATAAATGATCGAAATTTATCAACGCTCAACGCCCAAAAACACAAACAATTTTGTGCACATCCTTTCCTAAACAAAGTACAAAAAAATATATGATTTGAGAGATAATCCAAAAAAAATTCTTTTTGAGGTAGCACTGAGAAGCCACAATACGAAAAGAAAAGAAAATTTCAAGAGGGAATCTGAAACTGAAGCATCGATTTCATCACTTTAATAATGATTTGGTGCTGATATCAGCTTGGTATCGATATTACAAATTATTTGGATCGATTCGCCCACCTGTAATCCAGTCAATGAGAGAATAACTCTTTATGAGAGGAAGTGTAAAGACGCAGAGACTGGCTAATGGGATTCAGATGGAGATGACAGCTTCCTAACGACATCAAATCCTGCTTCTTTTCTCTGCCTGATAAATAACCGGGCTGCTCGCACGGAGACGTGACGGTGACAAATCAGCCGTGTGATTTATTGCTGCCGATCCTCGGCGTGTGCTCAGAGGTGATGATTGTGATTCTAAGTTGTCGGATGACTGATAGAGCACTCGAGAAACTGGAAGGAGAACCAGCATAAAGAGAGGATGCTGCCACTCTCCATTTGAATGATATTGGTGATCATTCAGTCTGAATAACCTGCTGATGAGATACAAGAGCCAGGCTCTGATCAGAACGTGTCACTGTAACATAAAATGGGCTTACCTTAGACTGACCTGTCTCCCATTGTCCTCGGCTCATCTTTCGTTGGTTTCTGTTGTTGAAATGATGATGGTTTTGTTGTAGCTGCCCTTTACAAAGAAAGAAACAAACAAAATGTCTCAACAATACACACATGGCCTCACAGGACATCAGTCTGTCTGTACATTTAACCAACCTGGAGCTGTGTAAGTCTTTGATTGATTTCCAAATGTCGGCAGCTCATTGTTTGTTTGAGAGCTTGTTGTCTTCCATTTAGCAAACAGAAAAATCCCAATGTAAAAAATTAACATCCTACCCATAAAACAAAACTAAACTAATTGAACATTTATTTAGTTGTTCAAATCATCTGCACAGTGGTTAATGGATGAGATATTAGCATGCATTTAACATTTCTCAATCTGGATCTTATTTACCTACATATTCATTTACAATTTACAAAGCTACATCCAAGCCAAAGGATAAAGTTTAACAGTTTGTGATGTTACTAAAATAGTAATAATAAAAACAGAAGTCAAACTTTTACATTTGACTTAAAATGTTATCACTATATTTTGTGGTACTATTGTGATATTCCTCTTCTTAGAGTAGAATTTAGCTATTTCAATGTTAAACTTACAAATGATTGTGCTTGATTAAAAATGTAACTACATTAAGTCTTTAATATCTTCCTAAAGTCCTTTCATAGCAATTCTCAGAGAACTTCAGCTCATTTTGCACCTTTAATTTCTTGCACTGCTCGCCAGATTCCAGCTAGGATCTTTAAAATACTTTATTTTAAAATACAGAAGGTGGGCTGAGTTTTAAAGAGTTTAAGACACTTACAACCAAATTGTCAATATTTTATTGACATTACGAGTCAGTTTGTGAATTTGACGGTGTCCTCTGGGTGTCTAGGGTTAGGCTAACAAGAGGCAGCATGATGGAAATTCTAACAAGAACATTGGATTACTCTGGATTAGGCTGATTCTATTTTTTCCTGAATCTGATTTGTAAAACTTCTTATTACTCAAAGCAGCCCGGGCTGCAGACAAGTTCAACAGGGGGGTGCAAAATGAATCTATGTAGCAACAATAATATTGAACAAGTAAAAGAAAAAGAGCAGTCCAGTAAAACTACTCTTATAAGCAACTTTTTTCCTTTTACAAAAAAGTTACTCAAGTAAATGTAACAAAAGCACCGCCTACTTTTGAACATAGACAACAGCACCAGTAACCTGCAGGCTGCTGGTTAACAAGCTGCCGCACAGGTATAAACCCAGCGCGAGCGTCTGGGGGCTCAAGTCGCGTTTAAAGGCGGCTCGGAAAAGCGGGTACCCCCGTGTTAATAACGGATTAAACAGCTTTAACTGCAGAAAAAAATGACAGAAGGCACATATGTGGGAAGTGCGGAAGCCCCTACTGAATCAAATCAACCTAGGAACAGAGAGTTCATTTTCCCTTTCCTCGGTTCCAGCCGACCGCCCCCGTTCTTCTCTTTCTGTTGCAGATAAAACACAACAGGCAGAGCGCCCCCTACTGGCACGTATCGTTGACCAACCTGTGCCGGCTGGTGGGCGGCCTGCGACAGGAGGCGTGGAGCGGCGAGCAGGAGGACGCGGAGGAGGCAGAGGTTCCTGAGCTGAGGGAAGGGAGCCTCCCGCTGCTGGAGGAGCTGTACAGCCTCCAACACATCTGCAGAGCGCTGCAGAGCCGGGAGGAGAGGGTGAGAGGCACACACACACACATCTCAACAAACACACACACATCTGCACAAATTCAGAATCGTTGTCGTTTGAGCGTATTTCAATGTAAAACTAAAGGTGACCTGCTGCCTTGTTTTCCTTCTGAAAACGGCAGCTGTGCAGGGACGTGTCTACATCAGGTAGTAGAGGGCGGGTGTCAGATGTGGGCGCTGATAATGTTAGCTTGACACACCACAAACAAAAATTCAGGTGGTTTTTATTCTATTGTTGTCTACTGTAGAGGCCATGGCATACAATGGTTTATAAAGGGAATTATAAAATATAAAAAAAAATTCTGAGTTTGAAAAGTTAAAAAAATGCTTGTAAACCCTCAAAATTTTTAGATTAATATAAAAACATGTACAAAAGTCTAGAGTTGGAATATTTTCAAATAGCCAAATTAGTCTCTCTTATAGTAAAGTCAAAACTGCAGTATGAAGCAACAAGTTCACATAGTACAGTAACTTTTATAAACAATATTTTTTTATTTTGTTTGTTGATACTGTCACTATATTGTGACAATATGGTATGAAACAGATAATCTGCCTCATACCAAACCTTTTTTCCTTCTCCCTGTGCTTACTGGAAACAAACAATCGTAGCGCTGTTAGTCACCCTCTGCCTTGCTCTCTGCTATGGTGCAGCTAGCCTGTCATGAATGCTAGGCTAGTTAGCAAGGCGGATAAGCAGGATTCCGTAACGATGAATTGTTTTATGTTAGCAAGATGAGCTGCAAGTACATGAGCTTGATTGACAGCGCTAAGTCCCACCTCCTGGCTCTGATTGATTATTTTTTAGATTGTCTTTTTCACACTATCACAACATTGTGATTGTTTTAACAAATATGTAAAAAAAAACTTCATTTAAAAAAAAGTAACAGTGCAGCTTAAACAGCCAAAAAAACCCAAAAAACTAACCCAGCTAATCCAATAAGAGTCTGCTTCAGCTGATATGAAATCCCCTGAACACACAACGACACACCGTCCCGACACACATTCAGACACAAATACATACTTTTGAAAACAGCTAACACTTGTAAACACAACATCATCCTCCTCTCAAAGAGGCTTTCCTCCCTCTTTTCTTCTTTTGTTTTTGTTTCTCAAAACGTTAACAGAGCGGCGGCAGATTAGCACCTGTTTCACCATGCATGAACGTGCAGAGCAAGTGCACTCCTCTAATCACAGTGAACGCCAGCTCAGCAACACATTACACTGCCTCTGAGCAACAAAACCCATGTCCTCTCGCCCCATCTCTCCTCCTCTGCTCCTCACAGCTACTCCGAGACTCCATGGAATATTCAGAGGAGAACGGCGACGCGCCGCTCAAACGAAAATCCCCCTACATCCTGAAGAGGCAAGTTGCCCACAACGCCAAGTCGCGGAGGCCTTACATCTTAAAGCGGAGCTCGGTTTACTGACGGCCGTCGCTCGTTCCTTCTGGCTGCAGAGCTTGTTCGTTTTTTTGGTTTTTTTGTTTGCTCCAGTAAGAACCTGCGATTGTATGTTCAGCGCCGAGGCCTGCCGTCATGCTGCTGCTGACAATAAAACAACTGAAGCATCGTTCACATTGTGTTTTCTCTGAGGAGCCGAATTCATTCATCTGCTCCTCCACTGCAACGTAAAAGATTGTCCTATGTTTTTTAAGCGATTGAAGGATTGCTAATAAAAAGCTAGCCTGACCTGGACATTTGTGCTCTTGTTCAATGCGATCCACAACAAACATGAACACAGTGTCTTTATTTGTCTCGGCCTTCTTTGTGTGAGGCTTGTTTTGTCCCTGCAGAGAATAAAAACCCAACAGTCTTCTACGTTTGTCCGTTCTTGTGTGAAACGTCATCTGCATACAGGAGATGACAGAACACATCGTTGCTTTTATAATCTCTGCGTCTTTTGACGTTTGTCTGCCAGCTTTTCAGATCTATAGACTGAAAAGCTGTCTATAGCTTCTTTCTTCTTCTTTTCTTCTTTTTCAAAATAGCCAGAGTATTACTGAATTGAGAGTATCCTTGAAAGGAAATTTATTTTGTCACAGATTTTCAGTGGAAATGTTTTCAGTATTTTAAAACATGATTGTGCTTCAGTTAAACTCCTGGTGTTTTCACTCTAGGTCCAGACCAAAAGCGGACTTTCATTTTTTTATTTGGCGCGGTCTGATTGCGCTGACGGTGTAGCACACGTCTGCTAAAGTCTTAGAAAACATTTTGCACACTTAGCTAACCTCCCACATGAAGTGATAATTTACTTTTCTGTTTGCTATGAGCCTTCAGCTGAATAAAGTCCTACATCTGCTTTGAAGTTTCTTATCGACTGCTAAAAGTTCTTCCAGTTCATATTCATGCTCTTGTTTTGAACCATTTCCTCTCCTCATTGTCTCTCTTTTTCCCCGCAAACAAACAAGAAACGTAAAGGAACTAAAGAACAAGATGCAAACGTAAAAATAATATCTTGGGGATTATAGAATATGTAAATTATGTTGCTAAAATTTAATTTCTCTTTCAACGGCAGATATAATTTGATTTAAAGTCAGTGTTTTACCATTAGCTGCGACTAACTACCTTCTTGGTGTTGCGCCTTCGCGTCGCCAGTGGCTTACTGTTAGCCCAACTCACTTTTTAGAATATATTCTGCCTCTGCTGGAATCCAGATTCTCACGCTCAAACTTCCTCTTCTTAGAGTATAAAACCTTTGCCTCTGTGAGTCTTTCTGGAGTGAACTTCAGGAGCACAACACACCTACCCTCAAGAGGATTATAGTTTTAAAGTTGCTCTCTCTGAGAAGACAGAAGGCAGTGATGTGTCTGTTGGCTGGAACAATGCCTCATGTCAATTTTAGTCAACAGAGACATCATTGCTATCTTTGTTTTACCCAAGAGAAGAAGAAGTTTGAGCACAAAGAGCAACATCAGGACAATCAGGACAGCTTCAGCCAAATGTATGACAGCGTTACTGTTATCATCGTCACTTAGGGCTCTACCCCCACCCCTGTAACGACGATAAAGTGTGTATAGATTATGGATGGATGAAAAGTAACTGCAAGCAGAGAAAAAAGAGCTGAAAAAGAGGAACTCCTACCATATGGTGCAGGAATCAAACAGCGTAGACGTATGTAAGCAAAAGGCATGAAATCTGCACTCAGATTTGAATGAGATGATTCAACCATCTGAAAATGGAAATGAGGACTAAGACTCTCACATCCAAAAAGTATGATTCATTCACATCAGCCGAGTTCAGCCCTCTTTAATTGAACCTTTGTTTGTTTTCCTAGAAGTCCGGTTCGTTTTAGGAAACGTGAATGAGTAATTGATCTGTGGATCGAAACAGTTAACTCTGGTCCACTTTAAAACCTAGCTCTGGGTTTGTTTGAGGTGAACTCTGACGCAGTGTGAGTTCATATATAGAGATGCATGAGATCGCTCCAAAACTAGGAAGTGGTTTTAGAGTGCAGGGCATTCTGGGTAAATATGCCGAAAACAAACACTCCATTCTGGCACAAGCTGGAAAAATGGCTTCAGTTCGTCTGCCAAAGAAAAATCCTACACCTGTTGCTCAAAGCAACTTCCTTCCATTCATGGAGAAGGATTTTGTGTCAAGTGTCTTCTTCCGAGGTTTTCATGTCATTTTCTTGAGTTGTCTTGGTGCAGTGCCACCACAGGCAAGGGAGGGAACAGGGTTTTCAATTAGTTTCGTTCATTAAACTTCAAGTGTGAAATTGATTTTAATCCTCAAATGAACCGAGTCTACCAGACTGTCAGGTGGGAAAACACTCAGACTGTTGAAAGACAAATATTGGAACCACTTTCCAATTTCCAGTTGGTCGGATGAAACTCTGCATCTCTGAGACCTTAAATCTTTACATCTTTTCATCACCTTCATATAAGCTACGGCCAAATATACGTGATCTGCTATTAAAGGTTCGACTATTTTTACCCTTTAGTAAACAAACTTCTCCTTGCATATCAAGTCTTTTTGCTCCCTGGGGTACATGCTGTGCAGAGGCTTCATTTCCTGAATTTTCTGAATTTGATTTCTCCTGCCTGATTTATTCACTTACACTTTATCTAAAAGGGGGCCATCTTTGTTCACTTATCTTGAATAGCGCTTTGACACCCATTAACATCACACGTTGTGTTCAGTTTGTCTTTCTGTTCTGGCTCATAATTAAGTTGGTTGTCACAGGTAATCCAGCTGAGGTCAAAAAATAAAAAAGAAAAAAGAAGTTTGTATTTGCAATGGTTCCTTTTAATATGGAGAGTACGCTTTGTTCCTGTTCTTTTTTTTGTGACGACTTCAAAAGAGCACCAGGCTGCAGCTCGTGGAGCAGAACTTTACTTTTACAGCGAAGAGTTTTGGCATTGATAAATGTCAGTTTCATCTCCAAATCAAAGAGTCTTTGGGGCTCGGTTCTTCATCCTGTCAGCCACAGGGAAGCAGACGCACACACACACGCGTGCACACGCACCCACACACACACACACACACACACGCGTGCACACGCACCCCTACACACACACACACACACACACACGCACACGCACCCACACACGCACACGCACACACACACAGACAAAGAAAGGAGCATTTTGAACAGCCTCATTTTTGCTTCACCAGAACTCTCACTATAGAAGAAGAAATCATACAATTTATGATGTACATATCTGATGAGCACAAAATTAATGTCAGAGAGTTGAATACATAGACCAAAGGCCATCAATATCATGTTGATTTTAGACTTCAAAATATCCAACAAAATGTTATTTTTGTTTTATTGGTTTGGGATTTTAACATGTTAACTTTGGTTCATTAATTAATTTTAATGTTGATTTATTTATTTTTTTTTTAAATGTTTTTACACAATTGTTGCGATTCGTTTTTATTCGTATGTTTCTGGCACGCCCGTAATTCTGACACACAGGCAGAATAACAACACTGAGGTTCAACGCAGCTGCTTCTCTTCAGCCACTGTCGGTTAATATTTCCTCCAAAAAGATCTGATTGGACTGTTGTTGTGCTCATGTTGTGATAAAAGCAGTTAGCCTAACACTGAAGCAATCCAAGCCTAAAAGAGCATCTGAATGCCAAACATGTCGCAGCAGCACATGCTAGCACCCACAGTCTGAAGACAGATTTTTATCAAAACTCCTGAAACACTCCTGAAATCTGAATGGGCAGAATAGAATTTTGCACCTATCTGTTGGTAAAATCAGCAAAATAAAAGATTAAATATACAACAGTAAATATTGATGTTGTTTGCTCAAGTGCCTAAATTTTAGCAGCAAAAAAGAGCTTTGAATTGAAAACGTTGCTTATTTAATCGATATGTAATTTTTGATTCCAATAGGTAATTACAGACCCTGCAGTTAACTCAATAAAAATGTTAAAATAGAGTCCAAGTAAAATCTTTTTCCTTCCAGAATGACTATACAACAAATACATTCAGCCTTCCCCTTTTTGCCTGGTACAACTGCTTGAAAAATAAGTACTGTAAATACAGAGATTTATTTTGTTTTATTCCTTTTCATGCAGCTGTGCACATGCCTGTCATGGGCAGCGGATGACGCTGTTGCTTCACTTGTCTGGTGGCCTGATTTATAGTGTGCCATGATGAAAGGTGCAAGCAGAAAACAATCTAAATGTCTGTGCAACTTTATTTGATGGTGCTGCAGTGGCTGCAAATCTACTTTTTCAGCGTCTTATGGTTGAAATTGACTGGAAGACAAACTTGAGTTAGCATTAATCAAAATCAGAATTAATAATAGTAATGCTGATAAACCCACTGTGTTTTTATATCCACAATTTCAATTGAAATCATACAAAAAGGGCTACAAAATTATTCTCCCCCTTTTTACTATTGTTGCTATTTACCTTTTCACAAAATAAATTTTAAAAAGCTTCATTTTAATTTAGTCGTTTTTCATTGGTATGCAGTTATCTGGTATTTAGGGCCATTTGCCATTTAAGTAAATTCAAATTTTTAAAGTGGAAGTAATGATAAGAAGTTATTTTTAAACTTTAAACCTGCTGGAATTTCTTACCAATTTGAACACAAACTAAAGCTTAGTTTTGCAGATCTAAGTTACTGGAAAAGTCTGCATACAAGAAATACTGTGAAGATGTGATTTCCCCTTGTGAGAAAAACATTTTCACATCTGTGTTTTTGTTTCCGAGTCTCTTGTATATTTGCTTTACATTTTTTCCACATTTTCTTTTGTGTGCAGGGACTCACACAAAAGAGTGTTTTTGTTTGTAAAAGACAAATTCAGTTCATTTCACAGAGCACCACTTCACCACACTTTACAAAGTCAATCCAATACAATCATACAAACATTGCAATTGATTCTAGTTAAAAAGACAGTTTATAATTCAAACTGGTTTTAAAAAAAAGTTTTCTTTCTGAGGAAATCCACCAGTTCCCTTCGGACCATTGATCTGCATCATTCACTCCTCAAATGCCTTCAGAATAATGAAACAGTTTAGATTTACACTCAGTTTATTTGGCCTTAATTAAATCCATTTTAAGTAAATATTTAATCTTTGGAAAGAAAAATCACTAAGTCATTGAATTAGCGCTTGTAGAGTCACGACCAGCAGATGGCAGCACATCCCAAAAGGAAAATAAGGGCAGAAAACCATAAAGAGAATCTGTTAATCTTTCAAAAATTACAGTTTTTTAGAACAAATCAAGGTAGATTTTAAATAATGTTATTGTTAAATATAAAAAAAGCTAAAACAACATCAGAGCTGGTTTTAAATGGTAAAAGGTGCATATAGTGACAGATTTATAGCATCAGAAGGCGCATAATGCTCATAATAACCAGAATATATGACGCCCCTGAAGTCAGACTGAAACTTGGTGTGACTGAAGAGTTGATCCACCTGCTCTAAGTTTGGATGCTGCTGAACTTCATCTGAACTGTACATGTTATTCACCAATAGATGAGCCCTGGAGAAATATTTAACTAGGACATTTGCAACAAACACGCTTGGCTTTAAATAACCACGAGCCTCGTCGACTCCAGGCATCTGCTAGCTATTCAGCACTCGAGTGTGCGTAAAAAAGAAAAGTCAGTCTCATGTCTTTTCTGAGAAAGACTGAAAATATCAATGGAAAGCACAAAGAGGGTTTCTGGCCCTCAAGCCACTGAGACACAACCAGACAAATGGTGAACTAATCTGTACTTTGTAGGTGGGACATATTTATGTGTGAGGAAGGCAACAGAGAAGAAGAAAAAAGACAAGTAGAAAATTTCCTTTAAGGTGACTCCTAGTGATGTTCA